CCCACATAGGTCGGCTCCAAACGGCCGGAAGGAGTCGAAAGATGCCGTACCAGCGCACGAGTGAATACCATAATGGCGCGGTTGTCGTTGTTCGATGGAACGCCGTCATCAGTGCCATCTGGCTGTTCGATGCCTTCATCGGTGGACATCCTGAATATCTATCTCGAGTCAGAGTCTGTTCCTGGAGGTCAAAGCAACAAGCGGAGGGTGGAGAGGCTTGAGCGAGTGCATGTTTGTGGTTGATGACGACCTTAATTAAGCCTGTCGAGCTGTCAAACAAATTATTAGACCGAAGGACTCGATTCGACTCTCTCCTTCAACAAAGGAACAAGAAGTCGCTGCAGGTTTTGCTGGTGACTGCTGGTTGACTGCGAAAGATCAAAGAGCTGATCATCGCCTCGTGCAATGTCAAGCACGCCATGTTTATGACGTTGATACGGGGCTGAAATAAAAGATCCTTTCATTGCACCAAATGTGCTTTTGTCTCATCGGTATTGACAGCTCGCGACTATCAGCACCAGGTCCACAAAATCTTTCGGCTCATCAGTCAACACCCGGTGAACTGAACAAGAAAAAAGATCCTGCCAGATTTCTCCTCGTTGGTTTTGCGCAGTTGCCGCCACCATTTGCGCCACAACTTTGCCGTGAAAGCCAACTTCTTCTGCTACAGTACACGATACCATGGTGAATGCTTCCCAACAAATCGTTGTCGCCTTCTTCTGGCTACTGATTCAAAGTACGGTGGCATCTGAAGATGTCTTTCGGTTGTTCTTCCGATATGGCTTTGGAGATGGTCAAATTGGGGATCCCAACAGTGAACCAACAGAAGAAGATATCAAGGGTCTGATGTGTGTTACAAACAAGTTTCTAACAGATTCACTTACCAACTACACCAAAAATCAGGGTATGGAGATTTTTGCCACTGAAATTGACTGGGGCTTTGAAGATTGGATCTACAATGGCACTGAACCAGAGGCACCCCGGAATGTGCCTGTCATTGTCAACTTTACAGCTACAGTGGATACACCTGAAGGTATGACTCCTCCTACAAACCAAGAACTTTGGGATGCAACCAAGTATTTTGATTACTTTGGCTACATTATGGACTACATTTGGAATATCGAGGGCGAAAACTTCTTCAAGAATACACGCGGACTTTGGTATGAACCGGAGATTATCCCTCCTCTTTCTGGACAGATCCCACAAAACACGGACTGCCCTGCCCCCGAAACTGGTAAGCTTCCTCGTGGTCGACTAAACAAGCTGTACACGTAGCTCGCCGCACTCATCACTTACTTCTTCTGAATGCACCCTCTGCCTTTTCAGCCGCTCCTAGCCGAGACCAGAAGTTCAATCTCACCACTCTCTCGCCCACAGTATTACCATCCATTGCCCCCTCTTTGGCCCCAAGTCTCATAAGTCTGTCTCCCTCTGTTGGCGCCACAACTGCACCACCCGTAAGCCGAGGGGGTGGATTGAATTTGCAGACAATGTCGCCAACCCGACCCGAAGACGAAATGGTCTACTTCACCATCCAGATAGACTTCTTTGCCGGAAAAGAGAAGCAGCCCACAAAGCCCGAGATTGAGAAGATGATGTGTAAAGCCAACCAATTCTTCGAGAAAACATTGAAGGAGAAGGTAAATCCAGATGTTACGGTTTATGCTACCAACATCGACTGGGAATGGGATCCCAAGGCAGCACTTCCATCTGTGATAGAGTTCTTTGCCGACGCCAGAAACTCGGATGGTTCCCATGTACCCGCAGTGGATGTCTTTAGTGCGATGGAGCAAGTGGATGTCAAGGGATTCGTGGAATCCTTCGTGTGGGAATCGGAGCCATACAAAGAGAACATCTTTTACCAAACAGAAGACATCTTCTTCGCCGGATCCTACACAGGGTCGCCCAATCCTCCAGCTCCACATCCGGGAAAGCTTCAGAAAGTCGACAATTGCTCTTAGAAAGGAGGACGCAACGGCAGGTATTCATAGACGGCGAATACAGACGGCGAATACACGAGGCAACCAGATGCCACGAAGGGAATCCTTTTTCCTCGCCCTTCGAACACGAACATAACTACTCTAACTCTACTGTAATACATGTTGCATTTGACATCCGAGTCTGGTACATGTACATGTAGCTTTAGCCTTTTAGCCCGTGCTAGCTAGCGGCTGTACGGCACTGCCTTAACGCTTTTGGATTGTAGTCTACTAGCTAGCTCGTACCGTACCGTAGCTGTAATTGAAGGGTTTTGACCCACAAAATGTGACGAGTTGATCCTCATTTATGACCAACATCTTTGACATTGTTAAGTATCTTTGAAAGAAAACCAAGAAATCAATAAAAGATTTAACAAATAGGTCACCATTGGTCCGGTACAAACCAGGTGCTGAGATTTCACCAGTTGCACACAACTTCCGTCCATTCGTTTCTTGCGTCTGATGTTATGATCCATGGATCATTTGCTATTCATCTCCATACCAGATGCAAAGGATCTTCCAGCCAGATCAAGACAAGCTTGCTTGTCGTTGCTAGTTGTTTGCTGTGGTTGACTCTCCGCCAGCTTCTGTAGGAGTACCGGTAAAGGTCAAACACTCCAATTAAAAGGACCATGACGGCTTGGATTCTCCCACTCCGAATAACAATCCTTACGGTCGTGGTGGCTCTCGTTGACAGTCAATCAGAAGATGTGTTCCGGTTATTTTATAGGTTTGGATTTAAAGATGGAAGAATAGGTGATCCCGGTGGGGCACCGTCACAGAATGATGTTGAAGGACTAATGTGTGCTACCAATGAGTTTCTTTCTGACTCAATACAAAACTACACTAAGAATGGCAACATTCAAATATTCACCACAGAGATTGACTGGGGCTTTGAAGACTGGATCTACAATGGGTCTGAACCAGAGGCACCGAGGAATGTGCCTGTTATTGTCAACTTTACGACTGTTGTCACTACTAGTGATGGAAGCCCAGCACCTACCAACGACGATCTGTGGCAAGCAACCAAGCATTTTGATTACTTCTCCTACATTATGAATTACCTGTGGACAATTCCTGGGCAGAATTTCTTCAGCAGTGCTCGAGGCTTGTGGTATGAACCCTTCATCCAGCCAGCCGTAACAGGTCAAATACCCCAGTCATCCCAATGTCCAGGTACCCCAATACCAGGTAAGTCAGCAAATTTGCAGTCTTTAGTGTAGAGGGGCCTTTGTGGTGCATTGATTTCTGGACACTTTGCTCAATACCCTGTTGTTGCCTTTGGCTATTTTTTTGTTGCTGCCAGCTGATTCTTCTTCACGGAATACACCAGTTCCTACCGTTGAAACTACCACAGGAACTCCATCGGCGGCATCATCCACGGCAGCTCCAAGTGCCGGTCAAACACCATACCCAACTCCCGAAGAACCAAAGCAGACCCCTGCACCAACCACAACACAGCAACCATCCTCGAAAGGTAGTAGAGCGACTGCCGCTCCGAGTGCTGTACAAACGACTGCCACCCCCAGCGCAGTGCAAACAACTGCGGCGCCAAGTGCTGGAGAAACAGACCAGACTCCAGGGCCTACAATGCTCCCTCAGACCCTCAATCCAACACAGGGTCAATTGACTACAAGCCCAACAAAGCAAACTCAAGAGCCTACAATGGTCCCTCAGACCCCTAATCCAACACAAGCTCCATTGACACCTGCTCCAACCATATCCACCCCTCCACCAACAAGGGTCCCTCAGACACCCAATCCAACCCAATCCAACAGAAGCTCCATTGACACAAGCCCAACAAAGCAAACTCAAGAGCCTACAATGGTCCCCCAGACCCCTAATCCAACACAAGCTCCATTGACACCTGCTCCAACCATATCCCCCTCCACCAACAAGGGTCCCTCAGACACCAATCCAACAGAAGCTCCATTGACACCAAGCCCAACAAAGCAAACTCAAGAGCCTACAGAGGTCCCTCAGACCCCTAATCCAACACAAGCTCCATTGACACCTGCTCCAACCATATCCACCCCTCCACCAACCAGGGTCCCTCAGACACCCAATCCAACACAAGCTCCATTGACACCAAGCCCAACAAAACAAACCCCAGAGCCAACAATGGTCCCTCAGACACCCAATCCAACACAAGCTCCATTGACACCTGCTCCAACAATATCCACCCCTGCACCAACAGCCACACCACAAACACCAAATCCAACAGAAACTCCATTAACACCAAGCCCAACAGCAACCCCCGAAGCAGACACAGAAACGCCAACAATGAGACAGCAACAACAAATGACTGGAGGTAAGACTACTGGGGGCAGTGCTTTAGTGATGTTGCTCGTTAATGTTTGCCCACACAATCTGTGATTGCTATCCCCTTGCGGTAAAGGAATGGGTGTCTTTGGCGGCATTCAACAAACACGACCACCAAGGGGGCCGCGTGGTATGTCCAATTGCTTGCTCACTTTTTCGTTCGCTCGCTTTGATTTTGCTCCTCCTGACCATGTTCTGTCCTTCCAGAGCCTTCTCGAAAGACAACACCTTACCCAACTGTACTCGTAGGCGTCACACCCGATCCAACACCAACACCTACAGACCCCCCTGTGGAGCGGCCAGGTAAGACGGTTTGTACCGCCGTCAATGAACTGTAGGCAGCGGCCAACTCACAGGATTCCCGTCTTCCAATTCTAGAGCCACCAGGTAGACCGGACGATAAACGGACCGTAGCACCGACGAAAGCTGATGAAGAGCTGGTGTATTTCAACATCCAGATGGGCTTCTTTGACGGACAAGGTCGCGAACCACAAGAGGACGAAATTGAAGCAATGATTTGTCAAACCAACATATGGTTCGAAAACAGCCTTAGAGACATGGCGAAAGATTCTGGAGTAAATTCTTTTGCTACCAATATTGACTGGGAGTACGAGCCTTCGGAGAACCTTCCGCTTACGATTTGGTTTACCTCTCACTCGACGGATGGAAGCGGGAACATTTTGCCCGCAGCAGAGGTATACGATTACATATTGCATGAAGCAGATGCGAAGTCGCTCATTACAAATTTTATCTGGAATTCTGAGCCATACACAGCCAACGTCTTCTACAACACGGAAAACATCTTGTTCGGAGGTTCGCACAACGGAGCCAAGAGCGGACGTCGCATCGTCCCGGGCAAGCTTCCCAAAGCTATGTGTCCATCATAACCCAAACACCCTTCATTGTAATAGATATATATCCTTACCAGCGATGTTCTACTAGCTAGTACGATGTGCTGCGAACTGTTACTCTCTTGTGTTTGTCTGGTGGCTTGGGCTGCAACGTCCGCTCTACTACCGGTGGTAGCTTGTATGATACCGGTAGCTGGAGTGAGTCGAGTCGAGTCAGTGAAACTTCAGTTTCAATTTCACATTTCACGTTTTGATGTTTTACGTTTTCAACGGTTCAAAAGCACACAGTTTCACAGTTCCTGTGAAGCTACACTTCTTAGTTTCACGTTTTTCATGTGAATTAGTTTCAATTTTACCTAACTAAAAACCGTGCTTTGCAATACATTTAGTCTACTACTAGTAGTGGTTTCCCAAAGCAGCCGTACCTGGGTAATTTTCTGGAAAATGCCACCATTTGATGTTTTACTATTTTACTAAAAACAAAAGGCGAAATGGCAGGATCTCAAAACACGAAGGAAGCTTCCTTCTCATCAAATCTGGTAACACAAAGAGGAACAACACGTGTCGGTTCTGCTTCCACCCCTGTTGCTATCCAACCCCATCTAACATTCCAGAAGCTACCAAGATGTCGACTGAGTTTGTGCTCAAGCTTGCAGCGTTGCAAGATGGGCGAAAGGAGCCCTCTGCCTCCGACACTGCACCGTCGGATTCCCCCCCCGCAACAGAATTTCGACGGGTTCGATTCTCGCTCATTGGAGGATCGATGCAAATCACAGATGCTGGAACTTTTATTGTGGATGCTGACAGCGAGTGCTTTTCTAAACTTGTTGACCGTGCTAGGAATTGCTTTGACCCTGAAGACCGGGCAGCAAGGATGCAGCTGCTTTACAAAGACTCTGATGGCGACTTGATTGTCATGGGGTCCAAGGAAGAGCTTCTGGACGCTGTAGAGTCTCAACTGGAACAATTCGATGGATGTTTGTACCTACCAATCTGGGTATATCTTGTGAATGGGCCAACTGATGGGAAGGCAGAACCAACAGAACTTGTTGCTGCACTAGAGCCGACAGCGCGCCCTATTCTGTCAGAGCCAGCAACAGAGCAGGTTGCTGTACCAGAGCCACCATCTGAAGCAATCAGTCCTCCCCAACGTGATGGGCGGGATAGACAAGATGAATTTCAGAAAAAAGCCGATTGGCGACCGGCTGTGGTCTATTTGCTTGGTTTTCTACTCCTTTTGATGGCAGCTGCCTTACCTCGTCAACCTAGCCAAAGTACTGCTGCTCACCATGGAGAGCTCTGCCCTGAGTACGTGGAAAGGGCAACTACTCCTTACCCTGCGTGGCAAGAGCAGTGCACCCCTGAGAATCAGAAGCAGAACAATACAAATGCAGGTAACCACTCGAGTGGAAAGACCTCAGGATCACAGGGCAGCACCAATCCGCCACCGTCAGGGAGGATCGATGAAAGGTCAGACCGCGAGGAGCTGAATCACAGCACCAATGGTGCAAGCAGTCTGGAAGAAAACCTCTCTGATGAGGATGCTTCCTCGCCATTGTCGGGAACAAGAAAGACATCAGATGTAACACATTGCAACTCTGGAAGCCCAGAACCTGAAGATCGTGTGCATGATACAAATCAGGCCCAGTACACACACTCTCTCGCCAAGGCTCAACGATCACCGGGCACAACCAACACATCACTCGCCACAGAGAGAATCCCTGGAAGCTCGGAATCTGAGAAGCAGAAGCAAAGAAACATTGATGCCAGCACTCAAGACAGCAACCGTGCTGAAGTGGGTACTGAGACATCGGCTTCCCCTATCGCCACCACAGCATCTTCTAGCGAGAGAAGCACTGAAAGTTCAGCCCCTGAGAAGATGAAGCTGGCTAGCAAAGATTCGAGGGCTCTTGAAAGGATTCTCTATGATGTATTGGACAACCAACCCTGTACACTGCAAGCTTACCGATGGATTGAGAAGGATCCTCACTGGAAGACCTACTCCAAGGAACGTTTGCGACAGCGCTTCGGTCTTGCTTTGTTCTACTGTTCTACAAGTGGAGCTACAGCTTGGCTTCGCTCTGACAATTGGTTGTCCTACAGCGTCCCTGAATGCCAGTGGTGGCCAGGTGGTTTCGCCATGAATGTCTGTGGAGAAGAATCAGATAAACTTCAGTACGAAAGACTCTGGCTACCCGGTAATGCATTGGATGGGGAACTGCCGCCACACCTGTTCAAACTCCTCCCGACGCTCCGTTATGTCCACCTGGATCGCAATATTTGGCTTGGGGGTACCTTGTCCGAGGGCATTGGATATGCCACTGCACTGAAGCAACTGTCGCTCAAGCATAACATGTTCCATTCAGCTTTCCCGACGGCGCTTGGTCGTCTCAGTCGTCTCACCAGATTGGAGCTCTCAGAGAATGATTTTCAAGGCACGTTGCCGAAGGAAGCCTTTGGCAATCTCACTTCCCTTCGAAAGCTGTCCCTGGACCACAACAGGTTCTCCGGCTGGATCCCTGAAGCGATTGTATCTGCTCCTTTGGTCGAACTCCAATTGAGCCACAATCACTTCTCCGGTGGTGGTCTTCCTGCAAGCATGCTTGGATCCTTGACTCATTTGGAACACCTGTCAGCTCCGATTCTCACCGCTGGGGCATTGGGCACCGAAGGAGACGACCTGGTAATTCCTACGGAACTGGGGCTTTTGACCAGACTTCACTCTTTGGACATGTACGTGCCTCCAGCTCTTTGGTTGTCGCTCAAGTCACACAAGTGGGAAAGGTCAGAAGTTGCAGTCCTCTACAATCTGGATAGAGCTCGTATTGGCACAGAAGCGAGCGACGAGGAGCTGATCGACTTTAGCACTCTTTGAAGTTGCGATGCGAAACGTGTGTGATGTGTCTGTTGCGTGAGCCTATGGTAACAAGCTGGGCGTTTGAATGAAAATGATGTACTATTTCTGTGTTACAAAGTGTTTGCTATTTGATTGTAAGCTCTGATGAGAAACAGTCAGATTGTAGTGTTGGCATAGAAGGGCCAGTCACCGCGGGCGCCAGGAGGCTGCAAGGACCAGAAACTGCTGGCTTGGCTGAATTCAATCCCTGGTGTGCTGTACTGTATAAAGGGGCAAATGCAAGTGAACCCACAAATAATGATTTGGGGTAGCGTAGCGGTAGCAGGTGGATAGCTGTGAGGGAGTGTGTTCCCTTGTCGTCCTTGGAGAGTTGGATGGTGATGCTGCCGCGCACAATTATCGAGGAAGGTTGTGCGGAGTGAGAAAGCGATACCGGCTCTATTCGATGGATATCATCAAGTTCACAGGTCAAAGTTAAAGTAATCACCAGTTGACTGTGCTGGTGACGCGGGCTGTTGATTCACTGGAGCTGCTACAGTGCTGTTGTGTTGACTAAGAGTGCAGAGATCGTTTCTGTAAGTCTGTCTTGTGGTCTGACTGCCCCAGCCTCCGTCCGCTCTTCGGAGCTGCATGGGTGATGATGTGTTTTCTCGAGAGTCCCGTCGTTGCAAACCTGGCGATGAGAGTGAGACGTTCAGCATGGCATTCGCCAGCGTGATCTCATCCCAGCCGGAGGTCGAAGCGATGCTAGCTGTGGACGCATAGAAGTAGGTCATGGTGATTTCTGCGAAAGAAAAAAGTGTTGCTTTCTCAAAGTAAGTGTTGCTTTCTCGATGTGGATTTCTTGGTTTTATGACATCGGAATTGACACCAAGACTGTGATGAGCTTTCTCACTAAGACTTCCTTTGACACAACCGGTGATGGGGGCTTCGACGTTGTCACGAGCCCGCTATGCCCCTCGATCCTCGATGGGCCACATCCTTCTCTCGAGAATTGATGAAGTTCTGCAGCAAACGTCAGAGTTGCTGCGCAAGCAGTACCAATTGCTGTAGGTTTCTACGAGTTGTCACCTCTGTCCCCAATTCTCGAGCGTTGTGACCACGAGGAAAACCTTTCATTTCTTGTATACCTTATCTTTAAGATACCAATACTGGTACCCATTCGCATCATGATGTTTGGGTCAAGTTCGCACGAACCATTAGCCATCCAATCCACCATTTGTAGTCTACAGGGGCCCTCTATAAGCCACCCACAGCAGTTTCGCCCCTCTCAGAAGGACAATGCCAGAATTTAGTGTCTGGGAGTGCGGCACCGGTACTGGTAGGCAATAAGGACAGAGATAGCTATGGGTGGGGAAACACAGAAATGTTGTTGTGGAGTAGGTCCAGGAAGGAGATAGCAACGATATTAGGTGCGGAGAGTCAGGAGGAGGAGGAGAACGAATGACACCACATTACGGTACATTTGAGCTGAGGATTGGAACCGATGCTATGGTGTGGAAGATCCAATACTTATAGAGACGGACCTTATTATCTTCAATTTGAGTGAAGCAAGTAAATTACAGAACTGGTGATGTCATCCCATTTTGCTTAATTAGAGTACAGTGCACTCCAAACCTCGTCCAATCAGAGACAAGATCTCATTTTCCCCCTAAATGAGAAAAGCATTCTACAAATTCTCGTTTAGTAGGCTGTGAAGGAGCAAATCTTGTTGCGAGCTTTGGATCTTGCTTTGCTTGGCATCCAGGAACCCTTGCTCGATTGGGCTAATCATGACTCGAGTAGGAACGATGTCAACAGTGATGCTTTTCATTGGCACGTCTTGGGGTCCAATCGAGAACTAGGGCATCATGATATCACAACATCATGGGGGCATACCAGGGCTCTTGGCAACGCCTGGTAATAGTAGTTGATGGAAAGACAGTGTCGAAAACGAACGAAGCAACGAACGAACGAACGAACAGGAGGAGACAATAGCAAGCGCCAGGATGGGCTGGGCGGGAATTAGAAGACTCTGGCCGTTGGTATTAACCTGCCGCGAGCCTTACATTGTAGTCTTGACTGGCTAGCTAGTAGAGGAACTGTCTGTTGTGGCGATGCACTAACTAAAGCACACAGTTCAGTGTCCTGCCATTAGTCGTGTTGGGGAACCGAGTCTCACACACCTTCAACGAAAACTAGCTAGAGAGAAAGGTTCTTAGAGGCAGTGCTTGCTGTCTGCACATGTAGAGCTGACGACTACTTTGATGTTTGGCTGTCAAATCAACATCAACTTTCAGATTGCCCTTTATCCAGCACGAATGCGACAGTGTTCCACTCCTGGTAGGCCCGTTATGCATTAGTTTACGTGTACCATGCATAGTTGACGTATCACTCAGACGTTCAATGGCGAGCTACGATTGGCTGTGTGGCACCACAAACCAATTGGTTGAGCGAGCAGGCGTACAACTGGAGCTTCGCCATGGCAAGAGTGAGGGATGCTGTCTTGACCCCGCTGTTTTTCGCAGTTCGTTGCTTCCAACGAACAACCTACGACCTTCCTGGCCTCTCCCTGTCTCTGGTGGTTGGCCCAACGCAACAGAAGTAGCCAGCTGGGTGCCCCGCAGCCAATGCGCATTTGCCCGCAGGCTGTCTCCAGCTAGATGGCTGCAGATGGTTGCTGTCTGTCCCGGACGCTCTCATTTGGGACGGAGAAACCTTTGTACTCAGTAGCTAGCCGCCACACATCGTACTATAGACCAGACAGGTTGTCGCCAAGGAAGAGGGGTACGGTAGGGGTTGGGCAAGTTGTTGAGCCGAGAAACGAAGAACAACAATCTGACAAATTTACCTGACATGCATTCATGTAGCCGGAATAGCTGGTAGCTAGCTCGAAGTCCTACTACGGCTGTAGCGGTACCGGTACCTATACCGGTACCGTACGGTAGCTAGCTGCTAGAGTATCTGGTTCTCCGCACCGCTTGGCTAACCAGTGGCTACATCCAGTGTGCTTCAGGGTCTCTTTGACTGCTTCAAGGCGTTCGTTGCCTTTAGAATTCCACCTCCTGTGGTCAGTACGAGGCAGTCTTGTTGAAACGGGATAAGTGTCAGCCCTCCACTACTTCTTTTTCTTAGTTTCGAGTACATTACAGCATCGAGTATGGTTTAGGCTGAAATCGCCTGGCTTAGAATGGCAGTTCAATCCGGCACCAACATTCGCCAAGCTCCTCCAGTTGCTTCTGTCGGCAGTCGGCACTGTGTCGACAGGGCAAGAATTGCACTACAACAGTCCACAAACATGAAAGGAGCTACCGGTATTGTTGCCGTTGCCGAAAAGATGCTTGGGTCATTGAGCACTGGACAGGGCAATTTCATCATTAGTACCGTAGTGGATGCACAACATGTATGTATGTACAGTTCGAGTAATATTTCATCCTTCACATCGAGAAATTGCATCCTCTTATCTGGTATGAAGTGACTTTAGTGGGGAACTTTTGCTGCTTTCAAGAAAAGAGGAATATCAAAGTCATCGCAGGTCCCTCCAGTTGTAACTGCTCTAGTATGTACAAGAGCACCAGCAGAGCCAAGCAGGTACGGTAGCTACAATGCAGTGGACCTCACCATTTGCAATGCCATCAGGGAGCTCGCTAGCTAGTATTAGAAAGACGTGGTATGGTTGGATAAGGTGTACTGTAGCTATTATGGTTAAAAATGCTAAAGCTTTCAAGTTTTCAGCAATATGGCTTGGTCGGTTGGACTCTTGAGTATTAGCAGGGTTGCTTTGGAGTCTGAAAGAGGTTTGTATTTACAATGCTCCAACATTATGTATGGTAGCATGAGATATGATTCTTGCTTGTGTGTGTGTGTGTGTGTGTGACGAGAGTGGGACGGTAGCTGTACAGAGAATAACTCTGAATGAGTGTAAGTAAGTATGAGCGAGCGAGGCAGAGCATGCAGGGTGTTTGTTAACGCTGTCTGCTGTAAACGTCGCCACCGGCATAGAATCCCCATCCTTCGCCATGGTCACTGGCGACAGCGCTGGAACGTCTCATGGCCGTCGGTGGTTGAGTTTTGGGTGTCTCTCCTTGTTGCTCCGCGGCGGCCGCAGCCAAGGCACAGAGGTCCATCTTGCAGGACTGGCGAGTCGCGGCAGATCCCCAGCCACTGAGACTGGAGCCACTGCCGAGGCGTGGAGCAGCGGAGATGCGAGACTTGAACCCAACATTCTGTGAAGGACAGTCCTCAGAGATGGAGACGAGCATCATGGACGACGCCAACATGGCAGTGTCGTGATCCCATCGTGGGGCTCGTCGGTCGGAGTTGATAATTCGGTGGTTCATGGTTGGTTGCTTGGTTGCTATGCTATGCGTGTAGTAGTAGTAAGCCACTGAAGACAGGCCAAGAATGCAAATTTATGACTTGAGATAGAATGGAAATGGAGGACAGGAATGGTTGGGCGATGAGAGTTGATGGGTGGGTGATGGGTCATACGACCATCAGACATTACTCAAAATGCGTGCACGGACGTGTGTTGTGGTTGTTGTGAATCGAATCATTGAACTGCTTGCAGGGGTATTGGCGGGACCCTTGCTTGGTTTTCGAATTCCCAGTGGAGTTGCTGCGATGAGAAGCTGATGAGAGTAAAAGACTCAAGGATGTAAAGACCCTCGTGGCTCGCTTACGGATGAGCTTCAATTTGAAGGGCCACTGGTCGTTGATTGGATGCTTGAAGTCTGAATTTGCAAGCATCACCACGTTGGCCGGAAGGTGTCAGCTTCTTCTTCAAGAGAACGGAGTTAAAAAACTGACGTATGAGAAGTTGTTTATTGAACGAATGCAAGTGGAGGAGTTTGTTAGAAAGAAGAATGCAAAAGATCACTGATGTCAGTAAAAAAGATAGTCTTGTCCAACCAAAAAGGATTCGTCCAACGGAAATTTCGAGAACTTGTGTGACCGGTGTACTCATTGTGTACTGAACTCTTCACAGTACTCGGTGATTTGGGAAGCAGTGCAGTGACGGATTTACTTCTGCTTGGAAAATTCTGGGTCCTTTCTGAACAAAAGATTCCTGTCCGCTCTTCGTCCGGCGCCAATGCTCGCCATTCCATGTGGCAGGATACTCCAATCTGGATATTACATGTACCGTATCTTATCTCCATGTGGAGGGACAATCCGGTACCATAGAAGATACCGGTATCCATAGACCGGTACCAGTACGATAGAAGATATCCCTCCCCCAATGCTGGCCATGGTTAATAGTCGACTGTTGATACAACCACTGTTGGGATGCAATGTCTACATCTCAGCCGGAGGCTCTCCGCGTCATATACCCTTCCTGTTGGACATATTGAAAAAGACTCAAGAACACTGTGCTCAGCTTGGAGGCACGAGTACCAGTAGTGGAGAGCCAAATATCTCCTCCCATCCAACAGCACCAGAGGAAACGGCTGTTGCCAATGCATGCGTCGTGGTCCATGCATTTTCCGATGTTGTCTACAATAGATCATCGATCCACTTGGCAGCCAACAGTGAAGATGCAATGGCTCGTGTTGTGATCGATCTTGTTCAAAATGCTCGATCAAGGCTTTCTCAAGAAGAGGAACAAGACGACAATACTGAATTTTCGTCTGCACCGCATCATCCTTCTGTTGGTCTCGTCGACCACGTCTCGGTAATGCCTCTTCTCCTGGAAAAGGGAAAAGATGAACACGATGTGACTCAAGACAACCAACTTCAAACACCGTGGGGTCGGACCGCCAGGGCGATTGGAACCACCATGGCCGACACTCCCAATGTTGCTGTTTTCTTTTATGGCGATGCAGATCCCCACCAAACGCCACTGGCAACAGTTCGACGTGACAAGACCAACTTTTTTCAATCAGGCGGATTATTATTGGATTCCGACAATGCCAAAACTCATGTTATGGACACGGCCACCGTGGGAGCACCGCCGGGATTTGTGGAGAATTACAATATACGTCTCCATGCTTGTTGCGATAAGAAAATGGCGCAGTCGTTGACACGCGCCGTGCGAGAGCGCAATGGAGGTGTCGCAGGTGTAGAAGCGTTGACGTTGCCGTACAGTCAAGGTCGCTACGAAGTGGCCTGCAATCTGCTACAGCCACGGGTGGGATCCGCCGAGTGCATCCAGAAAAAGGTGGACGAATGGGTACAAGGACAAACATCATCAACATCACAAGAAGAACTTGTAGAATGTGCCTACCGCGTGGGGACAACAGCCAGCCAATGTCTGGAGGCGCTCGAATTGGCACTGGAAGCTCGAGAACTGCAGCAACAAAAACAAGAACAGCTTGAAAGACACAACGAGAGTGTCTGGCAACAATTCAAGGGCTATTTGTCACAATAGAGAATGGAATCCAAATGAAGAAATTTTGCATGGGTTGGCATTCAATGCATAAATTCGATTGAATCGAATCATTCAGCTTTCCTGAGTCTCGGTCAAGCAGCATCCGCTACAACAGGCAAAAACCAACCAATCTGGGTTCGTACTTGGTCTGTGGTTCCTTCGGCTTCGACAACTTCGTTGCTACATAGCCAGTTAGGCGCACTCGCATGCGTTATCAACTCCAAGGGTGTCTCTGGGAAACCCACCACCTGTGGTGGGAACGTTTGGGTGCTCTTGACAACATGCAAAAATGAAGTTCTCAAAATTATTGGGCCGGCTTGCATGTTGCACCTGGTCTGATCCATAGAGCCACCATAATAACCAACCTTTCCAGCTGGCCACAGCATGGATACCAGCAAGAGACTATACACAAAGCATTGAGTCCATTGTCAGATCAATGTTTCGCATACTTAGGATGGCATAGGTGATGGTTCATGCTGGTTGGGCATCGTCGAATCGGTAGTTTAGGAAACTTCTACAGCAAGGTGGACTTGATGCGGTGGATCCACCACTGTCGAGTCAACTTTTGGTAGTTGTAGTCGGTTCTGCCCATGATTCTCTTGTATTCCGATTGCAAGAACTCTGGGGTCAAGTTGTCAAAGCTATCAATCCATGCAACTGGTAGATCCCCCAGCGTCCGAAACCAAGCATCCGTCGTTCGATTCAGATGCTCCAGCACCGGAATAGTCCCCATGTGAATGGCCTCCCAATGCCGGTAGCAATCCAGTCCCATTCCGCTTGGTGATAGAATGAACTTGGACCGTCTCAGCTCTGCCGCATAGGTTTTACTTCCATTCTTGGCTTGACTGTTGTAGGTATTCTTGACTCCCAGCGCCTGGAAGTTGTTCAGCACCGTGTTGATTGTATCGACTCTCATAGGGCGAGGATTGCTATTGACCATCAGGAGTTGAGGTCTTTCTGCGTCCTTTGGCAGTGTTGAGGGCTGGCGCAGCTCACGGAGCAAGCTGACCAAGCCAGGATCGAGGGTCATGAGACCCAGCGGAAGAGAGAAGATCTTGGGATGATCCAACAAAGAGTGCTGCGTAGTGACAACGGCGCGGGTGTCGTCATGGTCTAAAAAGGCCAAGATATCCTGCCGAGTACAGCCTTTTTGTCTCCAGACTTGTTCTCCCGTCAAGCCAGTGTATCGCGTGTTGTCCGTGGTACGATTGGGAATGTACTCGGAAAATTCTCCCCAGTTTTCATTCATTCGGAGAGTCAAAATTTGCGGCAATGGCTTGTAGTCTGGTCTGGTGCGATGCTTGTGAAACGCCTTGACAGCCGAACAAATGTCTCGCCAAACAATGTAATGGCTGGAATCGAGCCGTGTGCGAAAATCCACTGGACGACGCCAGGGAATCACAAATGGATTCTCCAACTCGTCTTTGAAGGGTGCAAAAGGATTCTCCGAGCGAGGTTTCCATAAGAGTGCTGTGGATTTGTTGATGAGTGTCGTGATGCTTGCATAGTGGTTTTCGTAGAACTGTTTGGCCAACAGGGACGTTGACATCTCAGAGTCCGATATCGTGGTGCTGTTTCGATTTTTGGTGCCAGCATTGTTCTCGAGAGATATCGGAAAGCCATCATACCGATCTTCTGGAGTCTGTTGATCCGCCCAAGCAATGACATCTGAGAGGGAAAGATAAGAATGGTAGATTGATGTGACCAACGAAATGGCAAAGAGACCCATCACCAGAGCCTTCTTTCGCAGATGGAGATGCACCGTCGGTGCTTTCATGATGGCAACGAAGAAGATGATAATGTCAATGGATCGAACTCTCTCTCTCAAACTCGTACGGTATGCCATACAGAGCTTGAGATATTCTGGCTTGTTTGATCAATTGAGAGAGTTCATCTGTTTTTCACATGATGTCCATTGCTACCAGCCCAAGTCAGATAGCACGAGGGACAGCCACCACCCAGGAAACGAAGCTTCGAAAGATCGTGATAACTCAGTCATGCGTGGAAGCAAATTCTTGAAGTTCTCACCCCTAATTTGAAAAGGGGACCGAAACAAATGTGCTACTCTAGTAATATGGAGTGAACAGGGGGCTTTTAAAAGGGGGAAGGGCGTACCTGGTACTGCTAGGCCGTCACCTCCTCCTCTGTCGCCCTCGAGCCGTTGAGATCTTAGCCGTTTCATTTCAAGTTGTTTGCTGGTAAGGACGAATACAGGTTGACAATATTGGGCTACTGAAATTTCATAGTAGACAAATATAGCCATCGACTCCCTCATCCACAAGAGTGGCTCGCGTTGCCACCAGGGGGTACTCTTCTTGCACAGTAATATTTCGGCGACGCCTGCCAAGACCCCTGGCCAGGTCACTCGATCCGTCCTGTGTGACACACCGTACCTCCATTTGAACCAGCTCACATTTTCAGTCTCCGAGTACTCCGTAGAGGTTCGAGTCTTTAAAACTGTCAAGTTGACAAGTCATTGCAAGGCTGCATACCACTACAACTAAGCTACTACATCACCATGTTGTTCAGTGCTAGTCATGCATTTAAAGAATGGCTAGATATTAATGATCGCTACCCTTACAATGAGATGAGGAAGACCAGGCATTCCTACACATGCAAGTATGTTTTGCTGGAGGATCAAACTGACAGGGAAGACAGTAGAACCCAGTACTATCTTGTAAAGACCAGATACCTTTCCAGTGGAATCCTTGAGCAACTCATCATGGAAGGGAATGCGCTGCCAATGACTCCTGATCAGACTTGGCTCTTGGAACAGATGTTTGTGTGGGGTGTCAGGCACAGCAATGAATGGTACAGTGAAGTTCTTGCTGAGCTTGCATGGGAAGTGTATGAGCATGAACCTGTCACAAGGAAAGAGATGTGCAGAGAGGCAATCAAACCACTTATGAGAGGTGCCCTTCACCAGCAAGGTATTTGTGGAGACCATATTGAAGTCAAGTCTTTGTTACTTACAGAGTGGGAAGAGTGGTTTGACAGAGAGTGTTGGAGCCAGCACAAGCACAACCTGAGTGGAATGGCAATCAGTAGTGAGCAGTACATTTCCCACAGAGCTGCATTCACTCTTCATCATGGTGGCTACTCCTACCCAATGCACCTTGACTGATCCAGGTCTTAGTTCTGTCAAGAAAATGGAAGCAACAGCTGTAAGATTGTTGTTGTTTGTTATCCAAGTAGTAAACAAGTAACCATCCATAGCCCAAATTTACCTTAATTTCCCACCAATCAGCCACAGTTGCAGTGCAGCGCCAGTGTGTTGGTTTGTTGCATTCCACACCAAAGCTCCTCTCTTGGTGATGTTGTTTCATTTGGTAGCACTTGCCACAATGTCTTCTCTTACAATTGGCATGCACTCCCTCATGTGCCAAGTGGTTGCTCTTCAGCCATCCACAACCTTTGCAATACTTCCTGGTCCTGAATACTTTCCTTTCAGGTCTTCTCCTTGGTGGTGCCACTGATGGAAAATTAGGCAAAGCCAGCTGATGTGGTGCTCTCTGTACTCCACCAACAGCAGGTCTTACTCCTGTGACAGTAGCAGCAGCAACATCAGGGTTGAGAACTGTGGGACAACCAAAAGGAACTATTGAGTTGGCGCCAAAGCAAAATGCTGGAGCACCAACTACATGATTTGGAGGCATCATTGGCAGTCTTCTTCTGCTGAGTCTTCGCTGTTCATTCAATGCATCGCGAGCAGGATCTTGATTGCCTGGCAAACTAGCTTGTAAGCTCATGAGATGGTCCCGCTTTTCTTTGTGTGCCTTGATCTGCAGCGCACTCTTGAGCCGTGGTAGAAGCACATTGTTGTCGCCGCGAGTCCATTGTTTGAAGAGGTTGGTTGTGTGGTTGTTCCAATGCTCTGCGAAGGCATGATAGTTGGTACCAAATTGACTTTCCCACTGGTTGAAAAGTCGGTACTCTTCATTGTCGATTTCTGTTGCTGTTGTGGTGCTATCCAGCGAGCGAAAAGGGATCCAAGGTCTCTTGTTGCTCAGGCGCTTAAACACTTGCAGGGTTGATTCCCGACCACTGTTCTCTGGCATTAGCTTTCTAAGTTCATTCTGAATAGCCCCGTAATTCGCATTGTCTGCCGCGGAAGCCTCATCACCAGCAATATAAGTAGCCAAGCGGTCATTGTCGTCTTTGTTGCCACCGTTCGCTTCTTGGGCTCGCTGGAACTCCTCGTCAGTGAACACGACCTCTATATCCAACTCTTCAACACTATCGCGGATCAAGCTTTCGAATTCGACTGTAGTGGAGAAAGTACGTGCCTCCTCACCATCATCTTCAGCATCTTCTTCACCCTCGTCGCGGTACTGAGTAGACATGTTGTTGCTCTCAGTAGGATTGGACACATCTTCCTCATTGGCGAGTTTCAGGGAATACGAGAACCCCAAGTGTTCTTCTTCAAGGTCCCGATCAACAGCAGGTGCGGACACACCTTGATAAGGAAGAGACTTAAAGCCAACTTCCATTGCCAAAGAATTCAAGTTCAACAGTCGCTCAGTGGTAAAGATGCCGTAATCATCTTCTCCAAGCCGCACTATTGCCTTCTTGTGATTTCTCATTTCGAAGAAATACCACATGAGACGTTCACCTCTGTGAATGCCTGGGAACAGTCTGGAAGTTAGATAATAGAAAGATAACAAGAAAGCGACTTGGAACATCAACTTACCAATATAAGTGGCAGTAAGAATTCGATGTGCCAAGTCAAAGTTGTCTCGCTCATTGGTGTTGGTACCACGTGCAACAAACACCAAACCGGTTTTTGGATTGAATCGATAGATGTTGATGCCAGTATCCTCTACCACAGGGTCGCTCAAACAACCTTTGTCAATGTGCTTGAATTGATTCACCGAGACATCTCGAACCACATTGGCACTCTTCAAGAATCGACGCGGCTTGGGAGTGGTGTCATCTTCCCGTCGAATGCTAAGAGTGTGCTCGGTTTCTGCATCCTTTGCTTGAAAATATTTAAGGACTGCCTCAACATTGTCACGAAGGATACCAGGAGATGGAATGGTTGTCCTTGCTTCCTTCAACACTTGTCGGTGGCTTGGTGTTTCCCCAGGTTTCTTCTTTTCCAGACGTTCCTTGGCTGCCCTGTATTCGTTGCTCTCCACATTGAAGGTTGCTTGGCTCATCATTGCTCTGAAGACACCAGCCTGTTCCTTGTTGGGTTCACACAGAATGTCATTCCATCTCTTCAACCAATGAAATGGATCCAGCAAGATAATGGCACCAGGAAAGCAGTGCCCCAGAATTCGTGAAACGTTGCAACAGTTGTCCACATACACTGCCTTTGCCGACTGCTCCACCGGTCCAATAAGTGGAAGCTTCAATTGCTTTTCAATCTGCCGGTTTCGATTCAGTCTCTTGCGGAGTCTGATCATGTCCTCCTTTATTTCTGAAAACGACTCGCTGTGCTTGAGGGCTTTCCAAAATATTGTGAGGCCATCTTCATTCTGAATTGTGACAATGCACTTGAAAGGACAAAAGCTTTGACCCTGCTTTGACCACACTCTGATCTTGGAAGCCAGCTTGTAGTTGAAATCAATTTTGAGGATGGTGGCGCAGAGAGACCTCATCTTGGCTTGCTGGAATTCCTTGCGATGCTGGAAGACTGTGTTCACAATATTGTCGATCCTGTACTTGCTGAGGACCCTTCCATTATATCCCTTTTTGTCATCAAACTTGGAGAAATGAATGAGCTCTCGACTTTCTTCCTGGGGTTCTTCATTCCTGTTTTGCCTCCGTGCTGCTTGGACCCGTCTTCGCTCTACCTCTCTGTTGTAAGGATTTAATAGAGGAGGATTGCTTTCATAATCGCTGTAAGCCTTTCTAGCATCTTCCAAATCTTGCTTTGCATGCTCTGATTCTGTCACCAACCGGTCCAAATTCTCTTCTAGTCTCTCATAGTAGGAGTGAACTTTGGCTTTCCATCCAGGAAGAAGGCGGCGGAATGACTTCTCCACTGTCAATGGATCTTTATTACACAACTCCTTGGCCGTAGTAATTCCATAAGACAATAGCCTCTCGATTTTGGTTGGACCAAGACCCGGTATTAGATTCTCTTTTCCAACAACATTGTGGTTCTTCTTAGAGCGAAGCAAGTCTGCAAAAACAATGTCCGATTCAAAGAGCTTCCTTGCGTCTCGAACATCAAGCTCCAACTTAATTGATCTGGATTGAGCTGCGTTTCTGCGTCGTTCAAGCTTTCCCAACTGTGGGTCGAGTGGTGCATCGTTCATGTAGTTTTCCATGGTTCTCCTCTTCTTTTTCGGGGCTATCTTCTTTGCCCCGATGGCTAAAAGATACAGGGAATGGTCATCGTAGTAGGATAAGTAGGCATAATGCTGTAACCTTCTTCCGATTTCTGCTGTTGGTTCTGTTGCAGATTCTTCCACGATGTGACGAAACAACTCTTCATCCACTGCAAAGCGATGACCAAGATAAAAGTTGAAGTAGTGGTTGTAGCGGTGACTATCCAGCTGCATTGACACTTTGTTGTAACCAGCGAAATGCTTCTTGCAACCATCACATGGATATAGGAAAGTGTCCAGATACCGGTGCCTTTCTTTGCCATAAAGGATTTTGGGAGAATTGATCCAGCGGGAACTCCCAACATTGACATAATCATTCTTCTTGCAGTTTGGACAGCATGGTACATGGTTTGGTATGATCAGATGGGGAGCCCACACCGCCACGCCCTTGACATAAAAGTCATCCACTTTGGTTGTTGATTTCGTTGCGCGGTCCAGA